AAGAAAATAGCTCATCTTTTGCTTTCTTAAATTTATAGAGAAAAAAAGTTTCTTCAAGTCGTATGTAAAAAATCAATGTTAAATATTTAATTTAGTTATTTGTACATTCTTGAAAAATAATAAAATAATTCAATGACTTAGATGCAATAGAGAAGCTTGTTTCAATAGAAATAGTATTTGTTTAACTGAATTGAAAACAATCTGTTTCTCGATAAAAAAGTTATTTACCACAAGCATAAAGTATTGAGGACAGCTGATTAAATGTCACCACTTAAACATAATCCGAAGGTATATTTTCAACTCGTTGAAGAATAACTTTGAAAAAATTAGTTTATCAAATAAAAGCATTCATCAACTATGATTTTATTTATTTAGATTTAAGTTTTCTCGATTTGTTTCCACTTTGAAAATGATGCCAACATTTTTAATTTATCTTAAATTGGAAAAACCAAAAAAAGATAAAAATTATTAAATTAGTGGGTATTTTATGTGTTTCAAAATAAAACAGATTGGTTGATATGAATGAACCAATACGATAAAAAGAATGAAAGACAATGATCACAATAGACTCTACACAGGGGTAAACATCGATACATATTTTATATTTTAATTTGATAGAAGTAGTATTCATATTATATTTTGTCGTTTAACAAAAGTATTTTTTGTATTAATAAATACTTCGATATCTCAGCTTTCTTTTAGACATTCATAATTATCATAAATTTTATTTGTAATCATTTTTCTATTTAATCGTTTCGTGTTTGAATATTTTATTTATTAAAGTTGATTTGATTTAACAGAATTATCTCAATCTAAAAAGTGAATTAAATTTAATTATATTTATTTGAAATTATTATCGATAAAATTTTATAACATTATTTCGTTTCTATAATGTTAAAATAAGATTAATTCAATGTATTTCATTCGTTCTAATGAAATATATAGTTTGTCAAATATAACTATTATGTTGTAATTAGAAAAAAATATATTTGATATGATTGTTTTATTTTATTTCAATTCAACTAATTTAAAACAATACCATTATTTGTTTACAACTTAAATAAGCTGAATTTTATTTAATATATACTTTGATTAAGAGCTATTTTGCATAGTGCAACTTTTTCGAACTAGTTTTTTGAAAATTTTACGTTTTAACATATTTTGCTTTCCTGTCATGGAATATTTCGAAATAGATATTTTAAACTATTTTTTCGCTAAAATATTAGATATATGACATGTTACTTTGTGAAGCTGAAATAAGCTAATTAATTCTTTTATCTTTGTAATTTAGAATATATTAGATGTAATGTTCGTGCTGTTCATATCAACAGACAAATGAATAATATATTTTTTGTTTTGTTAGAGATTCCTTTCAAATGTTCCAATTTTTTTTAATTCTATATCGAAAGCAAAGATTGATCATACGAAAAGCTAGTTATAGAAGCTTTTTTCCTTTTTATCTAATCATAATTCAAAACATGATCCAATACAAACAACTATTGAGTGTTATAATAATATTTTCTCTGATTTTTAGGTTTATGCAAATATGAAATTCATCCAGAATCTCAATTACAATTATTTATTTCTTTAATTGTAAATCATATCAATAGTCGATTTAATACACGTAAGTTATTTTTTATTTAGATTATGTATTTTTTTGTTAGGCTATTCTATCGATTAACTTCACAGCAAGCTAATGCTTCTTTCGCTATTTTTCTTGCATTTTTTATCTGCAGTAAATATTTATGTTTATTTTCTATAATTTTTACAATTAAATAAATATATAAATAGATGTAATACATATATTATTCAAAGTAGAATACTTTCTTGAAAGACACAATTTGAAGCGAAATTAAATACAGATATAATCAGCGATGAAATGTTCAGAAAGTTTTCGTTAATCTAACATGAATCATTTTATATTATATATGATTTGACATAAAGATGATACAATAATTATAAATTACGATTTTATTAGAAATGTTCGTTTTAAGACTAATCTGTAAATTCATACAAGATCATATATTAATTTCATGTATAATGTTTTCAGAATCATATAAGAACTTATAGTTAGATTATTGTATTTGAATGATTGAGAAAATCTGTTTTTCAGTTGAATATTGTTAAGAAAAGTTGGTATTCTTATATTAGCTGTTAGAAATATACGTAGTTGGAGTTTTTATCAACACTCTGTCCTTGACTGGTACAGTCATCTAATGAAAATATTTAGGGTGTGAGTGTGGGTGGGCGGGTGTGAGTGTGGTTACCATGTGTATCTAGAATACACCGAAACATCCACAACCACACACCACCAACACCCACCCTCAAACTACGTTAATCTTTTTCTTTTTTTTGTATTCATTAAACCTTACAAATGGCCAATAATATTTTTGATGCTTTTATTGAAATGGTTAGAGGCTCAACATAGATGGAAGAAATTTGAAAAGGTCATGCTCAACGTTGCCAGATTGGAAAGTAAAAAATTCGATAATTTTTTTAAATCGGAAAAAAATCGAAGAGTGGTTTTTCAGTGCCTAAATACCTAATATGTTTTTCAGTTAGCACAATATGATTTGTCCTGATCCTATTTATGTTTTAAACATTATTGTAAAACGTATTTTATAGCAGAAAAACAAAAAAATCAGTATACTCCTGCGATTCAGTCATTATGACGAACATTATATGAGCTATTTAGTCTCGAACTCACAAAGATAGAAGAAAAAGTATAAACTATACATATATACCGATATATGTCATAAATAATTTATAAAAAAAATAAAGTTCATTCCGTATCACGACTTTTGTTTCGTTTCTATTTTCAATTAGCTCGAATTTCCTTCGATAAATCTCATAACCGAGAAAGCTAGTTGCTCAAGATAGAAAATTTAACCTTTTTGTCTACACGGCACGCTACTTTTATTAAAGGAAGAGCAATTAGTAACCCCAAGTGTCTAACAGCAGCAGCAGAATTCAGTGAAGTTATGACACAGAACTGATCAATAATTAGAGGAGAAGAACGATAGAATACTGTACATATAGGAATGAGTTATAGTTAAGTTTTAGTAAAATGCTCAAAAACTTAATTCTACAAAAAAATCCCAAAAAGCAGAAAATCGAAAACTAATTGAAAGAAACCAGAACGTCGAAAAGCCGCTAGAAAAAAGTTCAAAAATCAGAATTTTTACTGTTATATCAGAACGTCTGGCATCCCTGTCTACCAGCACAGCATGATGGTAAATATGATCTATATATAATATATATGTCCATACCCATATCAACATCCACAACCTTTATGAAAAATAATTTTATTTTTTAAAATATTATTTACCGAATCAGTTTAAAAACGATTTCAAACAACTAATGACAGATTTGAATTCTTCGATCCCGACTACCTTCCATCCAACTTTATGAGAAAAACATTTTTGTATAAAAAAATGATCCTTTATTTTAAATAATTGGTATTAAAAAACTTTTTTAAAAACTAACATCAAATTTGGATTCCTAGACCCTGATTATCTTTGATCAAACTTCATCAGAAAAAATATTTTTGTAAAAACTTGATCCAATATTAAAAAAATATTCCTTTGTTAAAAAATATTGTTTAGGAAATTTTTGTAAAAATATTCCTTAAAAAGTTTTTGTAAAGAAGTGATCTTTTGATCAAAACTATCGTTTAAAAAATTTTCGTAAAAAAATATTACTCAAAAAGTTTTTGTAAAAAAGTGATTCTTTGATCAAAACTATCGTTTAAAAAATTTTTGTAAAAAAATATTACTCAAAAAATATTACTCAAAAAATATTACCAAAAACATTTTTGTAAAAAAATATTACTAAAAAAATTTTTGGTAAAAAAATATTACTAAAAAAATTTTGTAAAAAACTAACATCGCATTCGAGTTCTCCGACCCCAATTACCCTTTGGTCAACCTTTACAGCACGAAAGAATTAGAACTTTAAATCAACCAATCAGACAGCGAACGGACGGACGGACGGACGGATTCACGAACGAACGAAGTTTGCTCATTCTGCGTAATACCCTCCTTTCAGTAGAGGGAATAAAATTAAATCTAGTGAAACAAAATAAAATAATATAACAAGTAACGCTCGCACACAGGCTCGCTCAGCTCTTTCTCGTACAAGGGTATGGGTGTGGGTGAGTCTGTATGGGCTATAGTTACGAGTAGAGACATCCACACCCACACCCTTTTGGTGAAATATAATGTAATCTTAGGTAATTACTGGGTAATGTTTATGAATTACATAGTAATCTTGCAAGATTACATGATTTTTATGCAAATTATATAAGCAATTGTGTGGAATGAAAAGAAAGCGGTACTGAAATCATATGATTTGAGACAACTGAGCTTCGAAAATTAGAAAATTGTGTTAAATTTAACGATCATATTTGCGTGGATGAAGTAATTATCGCCGAATGTTTTATTAATATACTGATATCCTATGAAAAACGGTCGAATCGGAGTGTTTTCCGATGTATGACTGCGATCGGATCCAATCGGATTTTCCTGGCTTTTCTGCTAATTCCTGATATATTCCGACGTCGTATCCGATAGTTTTTGGTCGGATCTACCGGTCGGAATGAATCACCTGGGATATTAGTTGTTGCTGTTGCTCTTCTCTTCAGTACATTTGCTCTCTTTGATATTTTATTTAAGAACTCGGACATTGATCTGGACATATTCTCTCAAAATATTGCTTTTTCTATGAGCTTGATAAATGTTTCTCGGTCATGCCATCATGAGATTATTCATTAAACAACTATTAACTTTTATTCTTCTTTCTAAAATAAATAAGTTTAATTGTTGTTATCACTGTTGCATAATGGGATCGTAGTATGTATCAGAATATCTACATCCACCCTCAAGTTTATTAATTAAATGAAAGATAAAATACAACTTCGTTATACAAAATCGTGTCTCTTTTTGGTTGAAGATCGATCTATTTACATGATAATAAAGATATTGTACAAATATAATGTTGTTTCAATGTGAAGGACAATAACGTATCATTTCAGCAACAGTACATAAAGTTTCACAACAAGCTTCAGTAAGCAATTTTCGTCGTAAAGATTTACGAACACGTCGTTTACTTGGCACTTTATGTTTTTCATTTTTAATAACATCACAAGCAATACTAACCATTTGTAACAAATACATACCACATGCATTATAAGCTCGTTGAAGTGCACAATCTTCCACTTTGTAAAGTTTTCCTTTTATTTCGATAACTTGATCTTCTTCTAACAAATGTCCATCATACTCTACAGTGCAATTATTATTAGTAGAAGGTAAAATCGTTTCACTATGGATATTTTCATGGAGTAAGATCCATACGAATAATATATAGCTGAAAAAGAACATCATCATGATGATCAATGAGGGTGAAATTACAGGAGTTCTGATATTAACTGAAAAGAAAAAATAGAACTTGTATAGAAAAAGTATTAGCAAATGAAGAAAAGTAGAGATAATTTTTCTTTTAGCTTCACCTCACAACCACTTTAGTTATATCGTTTTCGCTTCGAAAATAATTCAAGCTATTAACAATTATTTAATAAGCGCAAATTTACTTACCTAGGGAAAGGTTGGGATAGCATTATTAACGTGCATGTATATATATATAGTGGCCTGTAAGCTTAGGAAAACGGAAAACATGAGTTATAAATTATATATATAATTAACATACAATATTTTCCTGGATTTACAGAATCATGTCGATCCATATATGACTCATAAACTCTATCTAACTTAATCTTTTTCTGTTTTTCTCAAGTCACACACTATTCTATATTTAACGTATGATTTATGCCTCATATCGGAGTAAAACTTTATCTTTTTCTTTTCCTTTTTCCTGTCAGACTCTCAAAAGCATACTGCTCCATATGTGATTTATAAATTATATAGAAATGCACGTATGGATTAGTGACTATATCAAAGTAAAATCTGATTTTCTCATTTGTTGTATGATTAATGGTAATTTCTTCATATTTTTTAAGTTATTTTTGATTTAATATTATAGAGTGGATATAAATATGATAGACATCAATATTCGTACGACGTACACGTTTTCTTGCAATCAATTCGGCACACTCGATACTCTGATAACCAAGAGGGAAACAGTAGACTTTTGGACTTCAAATTATTCTGAGCTACTTCAAGTCTGCTGTTTCTTTCTGATGCTGATAACATACATCATATTGACAATAACTTTCATTGGAAGTTTCATTTAAACATTGAACAGACATATATTTAGTGTATAGTATTGCAAATTAACAGATAGGTGTATCATCATTTGTTTTCCAGAAAGAAGGATGAATACTATTCACTTATGCAACACATTATTTATAAATATTCGTTTACGAGATTTATTGACCTCCTCCAGGAGTTTCTCTCGACTGTATCTATTTGTTGTTTGTATGTCACTTATAGAAGTAAAAAGAAAAAGTTGCTTTTTTTATATTCAAAAACAAGAATAAATGCCTGCACTACAAGCAAAAAAACAATTCTTTTCTTTATCTGCGTGCTGACAACTGCTACGTCGCCTTATTTTCCTATGTCTCTCGCGATAACTATCAAGACTGTAGACATCAATTTTTTTTTCTTACAAAGGTTGGTTCTTTGATTTTTATTCTGAAAAGATAAACAATTTCATTGCCGTGGGCTTGTCAGTTTTGATAAAACAGTAAAAGATATAATAGAGTTCATTTCTTTGAAAAATATTTAAAAAAACGTTTTGTGTTTGTGTCTCATTTTCATTACCACCATAGACGAATGTCATGAGAGCTATTCGGCATAGAATCAACATGGCGTATTTTTTTTGATTGAAGTACAGCCTTCGGTTTGGGTCATGTCTATCCATACCCACACCCGCCCTACGAATGATACCAATATTCATAAAATTCATTCACATATAATTTATCTAAAAGGCGATACAACAGTAGTTATCAAACACCTTTATAGGATGCGAGAACGTCAATGTTTACGGTGTAACTGTTTGAATGTGTCGTTGACAACATGGAAATAATTTTGAAATCCTTTTTTTAAGTTGAGGCATTGATCCAGCACATACAAAAGGTAATAAAAGATTGCCATAATATGCAAAGAATTCAGCATATGACATAAAATCTTTGCCAACATAGTTTGGAATACCACAAAGATGAAGTAATTCAATTAACATTTTTGGCATGTATATAAAAAGATAAAGAAGTGAAATTGATAATAAATGAATAGTCATTTTTCGATGAGTTCGCCAATGAATTGTTTGATGCATTCGACTTTTTTGATAAATAACACGTAAAAGAAGAGTAAGACTACAGATTATAATAGTCATTGTTGGAATAATATCATTCACAATGACATCCCACATTGCAGTTAATCGAACATGATAATAACAAGGAAAAGAACCACATACAATTTTAGTATAATCAAAATTATTTTTACATGGTGGAATGAGAACTACAATAATACTGTAAAAGATACAATAAAGAAGAAGTAAAAGAATTGGTAAACAATGAATAAATAGAAATTTATATCTAGTTGATACTAATCGATCATGAAAAATAAGAATATGTCGTTCAAATGTTGCCCAAGCAAAGAGAAGTGTTATTGTAATATAGAATGCTTCATCAATAAAAAGCCAAATAAGACAAAAAGAATAAGTTTGTGGCCAAACATATCCTAAACGGTAATAATTGAGAATCCAAATAAAACTTGTTACTTCAACAATCAGATTAATGAAAAGAAGAATAATAATAACATGATTATGAGGAGCTTGTCGTAATGTTCGATCGAATAGAAAATGATATAAAACGAAGAAAGAACAAATGACGGATGGAATATAAAAGAGAAGAATAATCCAAAATCGAACTATATAGGGAATGGCTATTTCACTCGATATATTATATAACATCATTTTTTATCTAAAGTTATAAAGTAGATTAAATATAAATACAAAAAGAAAATCTTGATGGTGAGGGTGTAGATTTGAGAGAAGATAGACACTTAAGCTTACACATTCAAGATCAGGAGTAAGTCTTTTGATTCCAAAGATACGAGGGTTATCTGGAACCTGAAAAACAAGTTCTATTCGATATGCGATTGATCGCAGGGGAAGTTTTCTTGAGTTTAATTCATTTTAGATTTTGTTCATTATCAATGGCAATAGGTGATATCATAGAATAAAACATCAATTTCATATTAAGTAATTCTAACGAAAAATGTAGATGAGTAATAGTATTACTTGTTGTCTGTCAAAGCTAAAAAGAGGTTAGGAAATTATCTACGTGATAATTCTCCAATGATCACAAAAATCATCCACTGAACGATGAAAGTTAACTACTTGGATTACATTTCATCGTTTAACTTACTAATCCATTTTTCATTGATTTCAGAATACATGGTTTTTGTTAGAACGCTTCTAAAAGTCACAGAATCTATCAGTTTTGTTTTTCCTTATAGTGAAAAGAGAAAAAGTGAAGTAATAGAAAAGACACGTAGAATTTTCTATTGTCAATATTAACTGTGTCGAATTACTTATTTGCATTAACGTTTTTTGTTTCTTTATATTGTATACAAAAGATTTTTCTTAATATATATTTGAAATTATTTTTAAGTTTTTCTTCATTTTACAATTTCCTTTTGCAAAAAAAGTGTGAATGAATGCTTTTTGATAGTTAAATCATTTAAAACAATATCTAGTTTCTCCTTTAATTAGTTTCGGTCTACTAATCTTTCTTATTTGAATATCCGATCACTTTGTAAAGAAAGACAAAAAAAATCAACATTTACATAAATTACACAAAGAGATTATTTTCAATATGTGAAAAGTTATTAGACTCAACGCCTATCCATATAAATTACTTGATTTTAAAAAAAAGTAAACTATTACAATATTGTCTCATTATTATTTATCCAAACTTTAGAGAGATATCAATTATTTGTCTGAGTTTTAGACTATTTTAATGTCATCCGGACATTCTTTATTAAAAAGTCTAATAAAGTTTAGGCGAATAAAATATATGTATATCGATCACGTGGCTAACTCTTTTAGAGAAGCAATTTTTGAGATAAAATTGTGTCTGATACACAAGAAAGAAATGCGTACAAACACGTTCGGAAATATAATTGCGTCCCAACACATTAAATGTTTTTCAGAAGGTTTTTTGAGACGGACACAATTTCTTTTCCGGCTGCGTTTTTAATTACATGGGTAGGAGCTTAGTCATCCCTCTCCATTATTTGATTACGCTTCTACATTTTGCATTAATATTGTGTATGCATGCGTGACACAAATATTGTATCACGATATTTAGAATTTAATGCACAGAATTATTAAAACATCGCAAATGTATGTTGAGCTTAATTACATTCAAATAAAAATATTTTAACTTATCTAATGTCAACATTAGCCGAGCAACTTCAAAATATTTTGCTTAATATTAGTCAATATTATCTAATTCCAATATTTATTATTGGTATTTTCGGTAATATTTTCAATGGAATTGTTTTCTCTTGGAGTACATTACGAAATAATAGATGTTCATTGTATTTTATAATTGCTTCGATGGCTCAATTATTTGTATTAATTTTTGGTTGTCTCTTTCGAATTATAGTTTCATTAACTGGATTCGATTTAAATGTATCATCATTATTCATCTGTAAATTTCGTACATATTTATTTGTTAATGGAATTATTCTCTCTCGTCATTTTCTATGTTTAATATCAATCGATCGATGGATGGTAACTTCAACAAATGTTTCAATTCGTAATTTGAGTACTCTTAGAATGACTCGATTATTAACAATAATTAGTACAATTATTTGGCTTTTGTTTAATATTCATTTACTTATTGGATTTCATATTGAACATAATAGTTGTACTGGAAATTCCGAAACATTCTATTTATCATTTTTTACATTTTTTAGTTTAATCGTTTCATTGGCACCATTAATTATTCTCATGATATTTACAACACTTACATTAAGAAATATAACAAATGGTAGATTAATGAGACGTCGTAATCAAAAGAATCAATTGCTACGACTAAGTATGATTCAAATAATTGTTTATATTCTATCAAATATACCTAATACAATATACAGTGTATATGCATCAATAACAGCAAATTATAATAAAACTAATGATCAAATAGTTACGGATGGTTTTATGAATTTAATGACATCCAATCTCTTATATACATATTGTGCAGTAAGGGAAAATTCATGAAAATAAACTAAATTTTGATGTTAATATTGTTTATTTTTCTTTTTGTAGGTAATCTTCTTTTTATACACATTGGTATCGGTAACATTTCGAAAAGAATGTTGGTCAATCTGTCGTCGATTCCAGAAAAAGATTAGAACAATTTATCGTGGTTCACAACAATTATAAGCATATAAATTTATAACTTTATTTTATTTTTCATTCAATAAACGAATAGGATGTAGATAAATAAATAAAGTGATTACATATGTAATTATTGATTTTTATCAAGATGTCTCTATGATATCATTAATCTTGAAGGATGGGTGGGTGTAGAATAAAGCCCTATACCTGCACTCACGCTCTCACATTGTAGATTTTGGTCTTATCTTCATCACCACACACGTACAGTCATACACTCTCATCCGACATTAGTAATCCAACCAGCAATTAGCATAAAATCGTTTATTAAGAATCAAAAACGTGTAATGAAAAACAAATTATTTGATTCGATTGTCCTGCTCTGTTAATTCTTGGCAAACAGTTGAAGAAGTGTTATTATTACCGATCGCCAAGGTCTTGAGTGTCTATGAGTAGAGAAAAAGATGAATATGAGAGAGATAAAATAGGATGGCAATCACCTTATTATGTCGTAAGGCATCAGCGAGATATTGCGCCCCCGCATCTCCGATATTATTATCGTAAAGGATGAGGGTCGTGAGTGTCTATGTATAGAAAAGAAGATGAATATAAGAAAAATGAAAATAGAATAAGATTCACCTTATTATTCCGCAAGGCATCAGCGAGATATTGTGCCTCAACATCTCCGATTTTATTGTAAATAAGATTCAGTGTGGTTAGTGTCTATGTGTAGAAAAGAGAATAAATATGAAAGAGATAAAAATGGCATGAGAACCACCTTATTATTCCATAAGGCATCAGCGAGATGTTGTGCCCCAACAGCTTCGACATGATTGTTCCTAAGGTTCAGTGTGGTGAGTGTCTATGTATAGGAAAGAAGAGGAATATGAAAGAGATAAAAATGGCATGAGAATCACCTCGTTATTCCGTAAGACTTCAGCTAGATGTTGAGCTCCATCAGGGCCGATGTCATTGTGGATCAGGTTCAGTGTGGTTAGTGTCTATATGTAGAGAACAAGATGAATACAAGAAAGATAAAAATAGGATGAGAATTACCCTGTTATTTCTTAAACCAGCAGCAAGATGTTGTGCCCCAACATCTCTGATTTGATCGTCAACAAGATTCAATGTAGTGCGGAGTATCTATGTGTAGAGAAGATAAAAATAGTATGAGTATCACGCTGTTGTTTCACAATGTGTAAGGAATATGTTGTGTACCAGCATCTCGAACATTATTTTGTAAGTTTTTTTGGGAATCGTTACAACTTATATAGTATCTTTGTAGTTTATATGATTATTTGGAATTATAAACAGTTTTTAAAAATTTCGTATCTGTTTTAGAATACATTTGGTACAAGGGGACCATTTTGCCGAGCACTGCATTAGGTGATTAGAAGGAGTAGAACGTTACTATTATTTGCTTTTCATGAAGTCAAGGTGATTAAAAAATCTAAGCATAAGTTGCAAGAGAAATATTTTTCTGCTTGCGGTGTTGACACAATATGGCATTATTTGAATCGTTTACGCAAAGAAAGCCACGTTAATTCTTTTTTTGGCTTGAACAACAACATGTTTTCTGCATATTAGAGTAGGAAAATACCCTTGTTGAACCCCTGATTATTTGGAAAAAATAGTATGGGAAAATAATTTCTTTCATATCGACAACCTTGTGAAATTTGGAATTTACATAAGATAGAATTTCTATACAAAATATAAGATGAAAATGGTTTGTAGAAACTACGTAAAATGTCTTTGAATTAAATTGTTTTAAAAACTGAAGATCCGCGCCCTAGACTACTCCGCTCATATATAAGGTCGACCACAATTTATCAAAGATTTGTAATTTATGATAAAGCCAGAAACATCCAACTTTGTAAAAAGGTATACAACTCATTCTTACCCACAGCTACCCTCAACAGAACTTTTCAGTATAATCGTTATACGACAAATAATGTGAAACAAGATGGAGCTATTTTGACTACGAGAAAGAAAGGCATTGACATCTACTGCAGTGTTTTCACAAACAAATAAGGAACAATATAGAAAACCCTTTCAAATCATAGCAGACATGCTGAAAAGCATCGACAAAGGCTGCTGCAGCTCATAAGTCTAATGAAAAGTTAACAAATAATCATGAAAGACATTGAACAACTAAAAGTCATAAAAATTGATCGGAACCCATATAGCATTTTATGTCAGCTTCTTGGATACTTCTCAGCGATACGTTTCTATCAGAACTTCCATGCTTGTTAACTGAAGTTTTAGCTCAAACGAATGGAAAATTGTTCATAAATCATTGAAATCTGCCTACAACGATATCCTCATGGTAAGGGTTACTCAATGACCTCATTCAAATGAAAGACTATTTGTTTCAAAAAAATGAAACAAACTCAATTCTTCCATTAATAAATTTTATTACATACCTTGTCTGTAATATTATCAACCATTTCATTTAGCGGTCGTTGAATCAGATGACAAGTGTTGTCTATCGACGATATCTCACATCTTAATGCACTTCCATTGTCATTAATGATGCTAGGTATTGTATACAAGCATATCGCATGCGATTGTAGATAAGAAGTGCAGAACACAAACCAGTGTTTCTTGTCGAACCAGAATGGTGTTCGAAATTGATCAATGAGTGACTCGAGATTGATAAAGTCATTGTTTATGTGATAGCGATAAGAAAAGTAAAATTCAAATTGATCTAGGTAGGATAGGTTCGTATAAATAAATCGTTCCCAATAGAAGCCATCAAAGACAGAATCGTACTGTTTTCTATCAGAAATCAGTTTTAGATAGCGAAGTGAAGATAATGGTGAAAGTAGTGATTCCAAATGTTGAGGAGTAAGTGAACACTGTGTTATAGTTAAAGATTTTAATGTAAGGTGAAACATAGACGAAGATGACATTAAAGGCACTATCTTCTCATCTATAGTACAGTTTTGTATGACCAGCGTTCGTAAATTTGGCAAATTATATAGAATAAGAAGATACTTGCTATAGGTACAATTAGCAATAACTAAATGCTCTAGTTTGCCTTGATCTGGCCATGATATATGTTTCGTCATGTAGTTCACGTTACTCAAGCATAATTTTCGAAGACTCCATCGAGTGAGTACATGTGAGACGACAATCCATGCTTGATCATACTGATCATACATTGACTGGATAGAAAGTGAGACCAGAGAGTCAGTATTTAAACTTTGCAAAAGACCTTCTAAATCCTTGACTTCTATTTGTCTGACAATTAATGAACGAAGTCGAGTAAACTTTACACTAGTGCATAATGAAAAAAATAATTTGGTTTCATTAAGACGCCAAGAATCATTAGTGTGGTGTGTGGGTGTGGGTGTGGGTGTGGGTGTGGATATTATATTGATCATACACCCACACCCACACTCATGAATTATCGTTGTAGTTCGAAACCAGTACTGAAGCTCACTTTTTAATTTATCCAATTCAACAATTGATCTGCTGTCTATTGATATATTAGATTGTACTCACCTTGTTAAACATGTTTCTGAGCCTTCCAAACATTTTTCGTCGAAAAAGAATCTAAAAATAGTCTTAAATTTGAATTAATTTCATGATTGATAAATAAAGCTTCGATGATGATTTCTTAGACATTAATTGCGGCTGACTCTGCAATGTCTAAGAATACGTATGATCATATACTTTGTTTTTAATGCGTCTTCATATTTGAGAACATGCCGAGATAGTTACATCTTAAATAGAAGACTTTTTCTTATCGCACTGTTTGTTGAATGATGTATGCTTACATGACAGCATGTTGGAAAGACGTGATGATAACGAAAAATTCTCTTATCAAGCATTATTGTTTGAGAAAGAAGGCAAAGGGCAAGCGTAAGCACAAAACGAATGTTCACACTAAGAGAATAAAAAGTTACTATTGTATCATGTTGACCACGACTGGTTGGATCTTGAGGGTGTGGGTGTGGGTGTTGCTGTGACTGTGTGTATGGGTACTCTCTCCTTTTTTCACCCACACCCACAAGGAAACTGTTATGTGATCTTGATTTGTTTCGAAGGACAATATAACTCATTTAAAATTTCTAATTCTGTTTATTTTAGAATATTTTATTAAATGTCTATATAAATATGATATATTCACTGTAAAACATAAGATAAACTATAGTGAACAAGAATGATTAATAAAAGTTTGAATATCGATTTTTTATAAAGTAGAATTTTTAACAAATTTTATATTTTATTATTGTTGTCAAATTTTCTAATAAAATAAAGAAGAAAATCTATTATAATCGATCCATATTGATATAAAAAATAAAACATAAGAATTTTTTCTATTCTCTGAAATATATTTTTCTAGTATATCATATCGAATGTAATATTATTGAATATTTGACTATTTTCTCAATGGAAAATATACTCTCATATTCGATACATAAAACAAGAATTTTTAAAGTCATTAAGAAAAACAAAAAGTATTGTTCTTATAAAAATGATTCATTATTTGCAGTTTATTACAATTCTGTTGTATACTTTTGAGAAAAAAATTTTTTTTATTATAGGATCATCATTGAAGATTCACACGTTTTGAACATGTCTAATAATAAAAATAATAATTAAACTATTTTTTTTAGTAAAGAAATATTAAATAAGTAATAAACGATACTTGTAGCATCTGACTTTATTAGTCTCTTTCATTTATTCTGTATTATTTGTATGTGAGTATTGTTTGTTATAATAAGAACTAAGACACAAAAGGTATTTTTCATTTTATAAATTCAAAATAATGATTGATGCTATACTAAATATAATCTAAGTATAATTATTTTCAATACTTTTCAGATTAAATTATATAACTACTCACATCCACACCCAGACAAAGTCTTGGCTGCTGGAGGAGGTGATTTTGTAACATATATAAATCCTATTATGTGCGAATTGCATGATCCTAGTACTGGACAACAGAATAATACTTGCGAATTAAATTTTGGCCGTGCTTTTTATAAGGCTGTTCTAATAAACAATTATCCTCATTTTGATCAATTGCAAAAAAAATTTTTGTTTATCTGTGACTTCGATCATTCGAATATTTTAACTCTCTGCAAATCTGTATCAATTAAATACAAGGGAGAAGTAAAGTAGTTTAAGACTCTACGGAGCCTTGGATTCTTGAATTTCCTTCTTATTTAAATGCATGAATAGAAAAATTTGTTTAAAAACATATAAGATCATTTACAACTCATCAGATTAGCCAATAACGATTATCGGTTCTCGAATTACCTGTTGTATTGATCTCTCTAACACGTTAAACAACAGCAGATGACCCTGCAACTCATTGAACAAAGCATATTAGTACTTGGAGTGTCATATTGTGTATGGATCTTTTTTCTGTCAACCTCAATAATTTTCCGTTTTTATTTATTTTTCGGACATCATAAAGAATAACTAGTACCTCTTGTTCGTATCATAGAACATATCTGTCTCCTTGACAAATTGGTCACTCTTTAAAATAAGATAAGTTTCAAGGTCTTCATTTTTTATCATATCTTTAGTTACTGTTTCATTTGGTTTTACTCGTTCACTCCTTCACAGGTGTGTTATTTAATTTTACCTTCCTTTTTTTTCTTTCCACTCTCTATCTTTATTCTAAATACTCTTTTTTTTTTGAGATAATTAAAATTATTAGTTGACATATATTCTAATCAAGACTTTTCCTCCTCCTTCTATTTTAATCGTACGATTGACGTCAAATACAAATGATAATTATATGTTACATTATGTAAATGCGTGAACAATCCGAACGTAACGTAAATGTAAATTATTGTGATAATCATTACTTCGTATTTGATTTCTTCTCTTTGACATAGAAGAAAAAAGAAACTGATTATTTCAAGTAGACTGAACATTTTTTTGCTTTATATATAAATGTTCCGACGTCAGTTATTCTGAGAATAAAATTAGATCGGCTTTTTTAATCTAAATTATTAAAGGTAACTTACAATTGAAGAAATGGATATGTCATTAATTTACCTTGGTCAACAGTTTACAATTTATGGTAGTTTAGTTTTCTTGTTAATGGGTGTATTTGGAAATAGTATGAATATTTTGGTATTTTCAAGTGTTCGAACCTATCGAACAAATCCTTGTTCATTCTATTTTCTTATTGGATCAATCTTCGACAATCTTTACTTACTAATCAATCTTACTACTCGTCTTGTAAGTACAATGTCTGGCGTTGATTCAACTAGTACTTCACTCATTTGGTGTAAAATCCGACAATTCTGTATCGTCACTCCTAGTGTGATTACTCTTAGTTGCTCATCTTTGGCTACAATTGATCAATTTCTAGTCACATCAAAACACGCTCGTCTTCGTCGATGTAGTAGTATAAAATCAGCACATTGGATTGTATTTATTGTCATCATTTTTTGGTGTCTTCATGGAATTCCTTGTCTCGTAACGTCTAATATTGTAGGCGACGAGTCCAATAAAGATTGTACCATCACTAATGCGACGTATAGCATCTATATACCAATATTTGTATTTCTCTTTCTCTGCACTATCCCGATTTTTATAATGATTTTATTTGGATGTCTTGCTTATCGTAATATCCAACAAACAACACATCTTGCTGAACAACATGTTGATCGTCAACTGATGAGAATGGTATTGACTCAAGTAGTGCTTGTTGTTGTGAGTAACACTCCATTTGGCGCTGTCACTGCTTACGGTTTAATCACAGCTGGAATTAATAAAGATCTTAATCGACAGCTGAAAGAATATTTCGCCATATGCATTCTCATTCTTATCAGCTATTCTTACTATATCGTATGTATTCTTCTTGTCACAGTATTAAACATAATTTTATTGAATTTAATTTTAGGGTAATTTTTACATTTTTTTCATTTCATCAAGTCGATTTCGTCAAACATTGAGAGATCGAATATTCTGGTGGAGAAGACCAATTCAAATCAATCCATCTCGCACGTTATAGTCTGAAAACAAAACATTCGTTCAAAAAAAAACTCATTAGTTTTATTATGTATTCATTTAAATCTAGTCTTTAAATAAAAAGAGATTTTGTACGATGGACATATAATTTTTTAGGGGAGTACGCACGACACAGCTATTGTTTTTTTTGTTTTTACAATGATTCTCAACAATTGAAAAAAGCTCATTAAATTTCATCTATATACACTAAAATTTATAGTTATAACACCGAAGTTTTCTTCTTTTTGTCGTTCTCTGTAATGTATCATTAATATACGTTGCATATATTGATGTAGAGAGGAAGAAACAAGTGTAGAAAAAACACGTTTCTTTTTTTTTTGAGTATGTTAAACATAGTCAAGAATGCTGAATTATTTTATTTTGAGTGATCTTATGTATTTCGACATTAAACGTATGAAAAAAGCTCTCGAAATGTCTTCCTGCATGACTGTCATGTTAATAGACTCTCCTTTTCCGTAAATTGAAATGCATGCAATAAAGAATTTCAAAATCAATACACTTCCATTTATTCATTATTCTATGATAAAATATCTTCGAGTCATGTTTTATATTGCTCACGCACATGTAACACATTTCTTTCTCTTGTCTCTATTCTGTAGTTTGCGTTGTTCAAGTGTTTTTCTCAACGATACTGCATACAAACAAGAATACTTGAACGTGTTCTCTCTGTTGATGATAGTCACGACAACGGTTATTCCAATTTAAATCAAAGCAATATTTCAATGTTCTCTTTCTTTGCCTTCATTTCCTATGAATGCGTGCTATTTATGATTTTAATAATTAGGTAAGACACTTTTATTTCGCCATTTTACTCAGACATATAGGTGCGTTTTTGATGCATTTCTATTCCATTGGCATCCGTTAGATTTTTGTCATCCTGGTAGAAGTAATCTAGCAGAATTCTAGTGGAGATTAAAGAGGGTTCGTTCGTTTTCGCCTTTTTCCATTTTGAGAAGACAAATGTATTGGGTGAATACATATAAAATATAGACAACTTCATAACTTTATTTTCTTAAGAAGAAAGAAAAGAAATAGAAAACTTTATTCTTGCTTTTCTTTCCTTAAGGAAACAAAGTGAATGCGTCATCTCTAAAGAAAATATATGTATTCTATTGTCTCCTTGTATGTCAGTAGGTTGATATTTTTTTTTTGATGAGTATACTTTATTTTATCAGATAAAATGGGTTCTAGTCCTTCACGAATACGACGATCATCTCATCCGATCTCTATTTCTCGATTTAATCATTCTCCAGGCAATTCATCGAATCAATGCCGTTATAATACAGTTTGTCCTTATTGCTATCGACTCACGAGAGGAAACGAAAACGTCGATGATGCTTTTCGAATTACTTTACAAAAATTATTTCCTGGAGCTTATGGACTCGAAGAATTTGTTTTTCAAACAAAACAAAGGTTGGTTCCAAAAGGTTTCTATCCTCATGTGAACACTTTGGTATGTGTTGGTTTGTGTCGTGATGAAATCACAAGTCCTTTCGAAGAAAAAATTGAAGCTATGTGGGGTCGAGCATTTATTTGTGGTTCTCTTGGTGGTATATTGTTTTGCGGTAATACCGGTTTTGCTGCTGCACATCATCATGCTCCAGAGACTAGTCGTTTTATTTATTATTGTTTTACACATATTGCTATTGATCATAAAGGATTAGTTGGTTCCGTTTACAGAACACGTAGTGGCATGAACGAAAAATCAACAGCATGTGGAGCACTCGCTGTATTTGCTACTGAAATAGCTTCGAATATATTGAATCTTGATTTTGATGAGAACGATATTGAAATGAGTATGTTAAAGAGGCATATCATCCAACAAACTGATCTTTCAACCGATGCTAACAATGCTCCAGATTTACTTAAAGTAACAATGACTGCTTATGATACAATTACAATCGATTTAGAAAGACATGTTCAGTACGATGCAGAACATTTTGAAGATCGACAATATGCTTTATTTACTGGTGTTCAAATACATGGACCTAATGGAATGGATTATTGTTGGGTAGGAAAAGCTAGTTTATTAAACAAAGGAATATTATCACCATTGGTTCTTCCAGCTACCAATAATCCAATGTCAACGATTGGAATCCTCAACGAACAACACTAACGTCATAGAAGTCGTCTAAATTAAATTATATTTCTCATTACTTAACTATAAGCTTAAATAAGATCTTCTTTTAACCAGTACTCATTCGATAATGTTTGTAATATTTTTTAAGTCTTGTTTCAGGTTATGAATAATATTGTATATTTTACTAAAATAAATAAGCTGGCGTGGGTATGTGTGAATGTTGGTATAACATAATCAATATTCATACTCCACCCACACCCTCAAAGTAATTATTTCTTATTTTTATGCGAATAGACGGACATAACAAATGTGGGTATGAATGTGGGCGGGTGTGATTGTAGATATTATATTTTTTTGTAATTAACACATACATCCACACCCTCCTGTGCGTATTGTATTTTAATCTTCACATTTCATCAAATCATCCCATAAGTGGTAGATTTCTCAGATCTTAGTACGATCTTGTGAATGTATAAAATTGATTTATTTTTTATTTGCTAGAAAATTAAAAGAAGATTTTCACGTGAACTAATACTACACATACATCTACAAATAGTTTTTATTCACTTAACAAGAAACAGATGGAACAGCTGAGTTTTTGATACGTGATATTTTGGTAACAGTTATACTATTCATTTGTTGTTTAATAAAAGGTTTAGATCGATCGTTTTGTTGTTGATAAGGAAAAACGTTGATATTATCGTTATCATCATTTTCTTCGGATTCAGTTGGTGAATCAGTATAATTGGCATTACAATCACGAGTAAGGCTAGCTTTTTCTTTATGATTACTATCAATTTGTTGAGTATTGTTCTTGGTTGATTTTAAGCGATGAACAATTACAACACTGTTAGAACTGTTTGATGGCACATCTTGTTTTGTTGTTGTTTTTTTGACTGACTGTTGAATCATCTGGCGTGTATTCTTTATGAGTTCAACACTATTTCGAATATTTGCGAAGGATTGTTTCAGATTTGTTAAAGATTCATCAGCATAACGAAGTCCTAATTCAACTAATTCATTTGAGAGACGAGCTGCTTTTGAAACACTTATGTCACCATTGTGTTTATAAGGATTACAACTAACAGGAATCTCGAATGATGATTTGTATCTTTTTTGACAAATAGAGCGACAGCAAGCGCTAAATAAGTAGAAAGAAAACTTTTGTTTATTCTACGATTTCAAACTCTCATCTTACCATCTGAAAGCCGAACATAGCCATTCAAGACATGGCCAACAACAATAGAGACAGCAACTACAAATAGCACAGCATACCAAGAGACTGAGAATTGCCATACCAACAATAAGACCAATGTTTAGTCCTTTCGATTGTGCTATTAAAATAAATATTCGATCGGTTTATCTCAACAACATACGAATCGATAGTTGTGCTTTACGATAGAGAAAACTTACCGGTTGTTATCGCTGTAGTATTTGAAGTTATCATTGTAGTATTTAGAGAATCTATGACCACAAATGTTACACCTATGAAGAGAATAAATAATATATGAATGATAATTATCATCTATTAATACCATGGTTATTACTTACAATACATATCTGATTGTCCTAGAGTGTTATCAATAGCTGCGCAACAGAACACTTGTGATCCTAGTGTTGTGGGAATCCAATTCAACTGGATTGAATAGAGACTTGAATTTGTTGGATTTTGGACAATGGCTGATGTAGTCATGCCTGTTGGACTTATTTTGAGAAAATCAACAACTGACGTATTGATACAACCAATTTCTGCAATTATGGTCACAGGTGACATACTCGTATTTCGTGCAACGTTAATCTCGGCACCGTTGGGCTGTGCACCAATAATGCTTGGCTGACAGCTACCACTGTAAACACTAATCAGGAACTGTACTGGTACTGAACTTAATGGTGCAGTGATATTCTCATCGATATAGAAGTCTTCGATTTGCAAGGCAACGGCATAGAAACCGACTGTTCCGCCAGTAAAAACCAGTTTGCATGATGTCCCATTATTATCGCCATAGAGTATAGCGTTTGGTACAGCATGACACACATCTCCACACTCGTCTACTTTAACGTAATTCTGGAGAGCATTAAAAGTGTGATTCTTCTCAGCCCAACGGCACCTCAAATAGTCATTATCATCATCAGCCATAGGTATTACTATAGTACTTTGAATATTGATCGGAACTCTGATTACAGGTAGAACATTTGAGACAGGAGGTGTGTTAAGACGACCGTTATCAATACGTGCTTGTAAATTAATCATAGTTGTGATACTCCAAGTCGATGCAAAAGTCAGTAGTGGTAGCCATGCACCTCCGGTAAACGTTAGAGTAAGCTGTGAATTGCTGTTCAAAGTCAATACACTTGATTTTTTACCACTAGATATACTAGCACTGACACTATAATCTGTGCACGGAACAGTAGTTGAGAGATTATTAGTATATCCACTACAAGAATATGTTGAACACCGCAAGTAGCTAAAATCGCCGATGGTACCTTGAGTAAGAATTGTTGTATCATTACACGAGTAAGTTGAACGTTTCCATGAATAACTCTGCTCAACAATAATATCAACTGTGCTGTTGGTAACTGAATTTACATTGACAGGTTTCCATGTAATACTACCACCACGAAAATGACTTGAGCCAGCATAACCAAACAGAAGAGCCAGTACAATAACAAAAAAACTGAATTGCATTTTGATTAACAATCAAGAAAAGAATTGTGTTTTGCAAGCACAATGAATTGTTCGTTTTATATATATAAGCATAAGAGAACGAGAAATTAATGTTTGACATCAACAATCAAAAACTTATATGGTATCAAAATAAAAAATGAATATTGCGCAGACATTGAAATCAAGGAATAATCAATAGACAGAAAAAGCCTTATATATTTAATTAAAATGAAATATGAAGACAATCGTTTTCTTTTATTGTAGTAAAGAAATAAATCTCCGCGAAATTCATTGTAATAATACTGCAACCAATACTATTGTTACAATCTTATTGTTTTTCATTACGCAGATTATTGAAATAAATAAAAGAAAAAGTACATGGAAAGGTGAGCTCTACCGCACATCAAAAATAAAAGTACAAGTAGACGAAGGTGAGTGGATATGGGTGTCATGTGAGCGTGGGAGTATGTAGGTAAAGAAAAGATTAATCTACACCGGCAACCATCATCTACCCACACATACACATCCTGAAGATGGTATACTTATTTATGTGATATAGAAGAAGTGTATTTCTTGAAAATCAACTGTTCTTCGATAATACATGTATGGTCTGTTTTTGAATTTGTTGTGGAATAATTTGATTCAGTCGACTGTTTTCTATATTCTATTGCATTGTCGATTAACATGAGTTACTATTCCAAAGTAGATTTGATCCATCATTTGACTTTTGAAAGTGTATTGAGTAAAAAATTATTCATAAAAAAGAAAAGAAATATCCTTAGTTTCTCTGATAAAAATATGACGAGTCAAGAAAAGGAAATCAACTTTTTATATACTGTTATTCTTTCTGATAAAGAAATATGTAAAGAATGATGGAAGAGAGAAAAGACAAAAAAAAGAAATGAAAGCAAATATACTTTACTGCTGTTTATACTGACAATGTGAATATTAGTCTTGTCAATATAAGATGAGACATAAAAGAGAACAAGAAAAAATCATAAGTTAGTATTGAGAGAGCACGTTTTATTCTTAGTAACAGCTTGTAAAAGTCTAATTAAAAAAATGTAAGTTTCAAATAGAGTTTTTTTTGGAGTATTAATGTTAAAACGGTAACTTCGGTCGATCTTTAAGATAAGCAGCCACTTTTGTATCATTTTCGACTGATTGTCGAACTTTCTTTAAATTGGGATATTTGTCCAATATTGTCGAATCTACACCCAAGACTGTTTCAGTAATATCATAAAACCATAGATCAGCATATGTCAAATGATTTCCCACAAGAAAATCATTGCCTTGATAAAATTCTTGTAATGTTTGTAAATTTTTGAAAAGTTTAAGACTTTGTTCATTAAGTGCTTCTTTCTTCGTGGCTTCATCTGCCTTCATATGAATCGGGAAATAGCTAACAACAAAATCCGTAACTGTATCAACTACTGCATCGACTTTTGCTTGTTCAAGATTATCTTTACCAGCAAGTTGAAATTCTTTAGCTAAGTAACGAGCAATTGAAATCGATTGAGGCAATTTCACTCCATCAACTTCGAGCACTGGTATTTGACCGAGTGGCATCTCAGATTTATGTTGAGGAAATTCTTCTCGTTTATAACGAATATCTTCATATTTTTCACCTGTAAGAAAAACAAATTCTGTAGATGTTTAGAGATTCTTAAATAATCTGGCTTGAGTTTATAATTAAATAGAATAGAAGTATTCTTCTGACAAAAATCGCTATGAAAATTAAGTTAGCTTGATGATTACATATACATACCAGCAGCGGCAAAAATAAGTCTGGTAATTTCTGCTTGACCACGTAGATCAAAATAGTGTAATTTGTAGGTAGGCATGTCTGTCTTATGGGTGTTGTTTATATCACGAAGGATGAATGAAATAGGACTATATAGAAATGAATGAAACTGAACATCGATTGTTGCTCTTTGTATTTATAATACAAGGCTTTCTTATCGACATGCAGCGAGAGAACAAGAAAAATAAAGAGAATAGAAAGAATAATAAGCAAGAAGAATGCATGTTTTTTTTCTCTCCTTGCGTCGAAACGTAATGGGTATATTTATAACGTAACAAGACTTACCATACGTGGCGGATTCCATCCCTTACCCACACCCTAGTTTAGTAAAAAACATCATTTTGTTGTAGACAACAGAATATTCAACATAATTTCAAATGTGGAAATTTACAAGGCAGTAATGATTTTTATGACTCTATTGGCGGTGGATGTTCAACTATATACTTTATACATTTAAAAGAATGATTGATCCTAGAACGATTTAAACCATATGAACACGAGGATCTTGGATCGAGTGAAATCGAAGCTGAAGAAGGCCGATTTCTAGGCGATGGATTACGAAATAATAAGGTCACTCTCTTTTTCTGCTCATCTCTCTCATATTCATATTAAACTTGTTGTATAGTCACTCACCAGTCGAAAGCTTTCCGGAAATATCATCAAACACGAAGGGATTCAACATTTACTTAATACTTTAGAAAATAACATTGTAAATCTTTTTCTTTATTTATTTTCTCACGTAGTTTCATACTAAATCTTTTTGTTATTCAGATACGCAACTAACTTGATCTTGCATGGACTGAATTTGAGCAAGATGAAAAAAAAGCGATTGAAGATTATATGGAAAAGACAGGATGTTCTGTCTTTAAAGGATTCGATTTTTGGATCAACATTACACAATAACGAACAAAACTTTTAGAAATTCTATTTTTTCTAATCATTATTAGATTATAGTTAATAATTATCATAAACTAACATATTTTATCTAAATAAATTATATAAGGAGCAAGTTTAACATTGATCAAAATTATTTTTGCTTTAAAAAATATTAGAAGTAAACAATTCTACTAAATTCCATTGAATAAAAAGTTTTGATAGAGGAATAAAAATTGGTGATCCTGTTGATGATACTTTTAGAATAGAATATAATAAATAATGTATGACATACTGAAATGCAGATTCAAAATAATACTATTCAACTTGAGGGTGTGGGTAAGAGTGTGGGTATTCTTTTCATTCCACACCCGCACTCACACTCTCACCCACCCTCACCCTCGTGTCAAAGTGGTTAGAATTTTTCGTTTTTGGTGTTGCTGCTGATCAAGATTTCTCTGTCTAGAATTCACTTGTTTAGATGCTTCTTTCGATATATTGATGTATTTAAGCTTGTAGTCTTTACAATATATACTTTTGAAGGATGTTATATTTGAAAAATTAATGAAAGAAAGAAATGAAAAGTAACAAACGACTATTTGGGCAGCCTGTCTCTATCAAATCAAATGCTAGTTCATTTCGGTAAACTGATTTATCTGAACAAATTGATCGTCGGAATTTCCAAGTACCATCAACAATTAAATATCTTGTATCATACACAACTATGTTAGACCAAAATCTGGTGAACTCACTTGATGGGTGTGGGGTGGGTGAGTGTTGGTATGAGTGTATATATTCTCTTTCTCCACATACACACCCACATCCACATCTACCAGCTGAATTTACACAACTACTTCTTATTGGCATTGATGATGATCTACTTTGGTTCTCACTAATAATGTTATAATTATCATAATCGCCATTTGATATGCAACTGTAATCAAATTTTTTTAATTATTTCTTGTTGTACTTTTGCTAGTAGTTCATTTTTTTTCCTTTGCTATACTAAGAAGAAGACCATTAATGAGTGATAAATATTTCTCAACGAAAAAATCAGGAAGTATTTGGACCTGCTCTATACTTTCTTCTTTTTCAATCCTGGTCGAATGATCCAGGACGGAAACTGTCAGTTTCCTCACGGTTTTCTATAAAAATTTGCGGAATACTGCGTCAGGAATCATCGTCGTGGAAAATTCAATCGGTATTAACACCAAGTACGAATTTTCAATATGTTCTGAAGGATTTTGTATTGTTGTTCTTGCTGTAATTGTCCTTTTACTATTAAATTCTTTTTTATTGAACTAATTCGTTCAAGCTGTTTATAAACATAGTATTCGGTTTGGATGTATACCCTTTCTATTCACTTTCACCCTCACACTCTAGGTTGATTCATATTTATGAGTATGACATTTTGAAACTGACCATTTTTCACAACAATTATTTTCCATTATATGTTGTTTTTGGTTTTTTTCTCACTGTTTGATTGTAAAAAAAGTGGTACTATTAATGCGTTTAAACAAGTAGATATAAACTTATTCAAATAGTACGTAGTTTCATTGAAACTTTTGTTTTTACAAAGCGAACGAATATAACAAGCTTTTTTTTGTATATTTTAGTTTAAAAAAACCCCTTTATATACAGAAGGTATACGACGCAGAGTCTGTTGCTGAAAAATTATTATTTTATCGAAAAACCGAAAAAGAACAATTAGAATTAACAATGTTTGCGTTAAAATTAAAATCAACAGAAAATGCAAAAGCCATACGATCATTGACCCTTTCAAATATGTTTATATGTGCACGAGAAGGTGATTTCATCGTCGACCAATTAAATTTTTTCAACAGTAATCTTAAAGATAATAACGAAATACAAGGATGTGCATCAGCTTTGTTTGATGGTCAACGTATTACTCAATCTATATCTTTTGGTCGAACAATTATTGAAAATAAATCATTATGCATTTGCGTCGGACCAATTGGCTCTAAATGGGCAAATCTATTAATGTATTTGGATGGAAACAAAGCTTCAGATGGGTTTCATCCAAGATTTATATTCCACTGTTTAGAAACAATTTTTACTGTCAAAGCTTTTTCATTTACATATTTAAAACCAATTCTTGTAAATGGCCAACCTAGATACTGTTGAATGACGACGCTGATCTTATCGCCGAATAATACGGGCTTTATCGTGTGAATGATTGTATACAAAGGAACATGAGAGAAACTTAATATTGATAGCCTATAACGGGTAGTATGAATAATGATATTTTATGTATTAATTCTATAATTTGTATTGTTAGGTTCAATAACGCATCTAGAACAACTATGATTTAAACTGAGGATAAACGATCGACAATCCTCATTGCCGCAACAGGCGGTAATTAATGAAAAATATGAAGAATTGGTTAAATTGCATCGGCTTTGACAGATCTCATAATAGGTTTTTCTATATGTGCATACTTAAACTCTTCTGTATTATGATTTATCAATGACACCTATATGGTCAATATTATATAATAAATAAAGTTTATTCAAAATCAGGATGACCAATGGCTATAGGTCAGTATTGTCTTCAAATCAATATCCTTCATTTTATGTATATTTATTATAAATAAAATAACCGACTGCACTCACCCACACCCTTTGAATTCTTATGATATTTTTTTAATAATCCTGGTTTTGAATAGCTCATAAAATGATATACATTAAAAACTCAACTTTTGTTACGAATGAAGTTGATATTTGAATAATACTAAATATTTTTTTTTGCAACCCTTGCTCGAAAAGAAATCAGTAACTTTAAATAAATAGGTGCTCGTGAATATATATGTATATTACATGTAAATAAATACATCTGAATTATTTAACTAGCTAAGAGATGTTTATAAAAGAATGATGTATTAAAAATTATTTGTTTTGAGAATAATTCATTTGAGGCAACTGATAATAACATACGATATCAAATTAGTAATTTATATGCATCTTGGATTTTTGTTTACAATCAACAACGATTTAAATGGCTATGCATTAGAAATTAATGAGAAGATTAAATAGCTATGCAAGTATTTTAAATAGTACTGGAGAATTTAAATAGCTAATAGTTGTTTATATAACAAAAATTGTATCTCTTTTCAGAATAAACCGATATATTCACAAAAATGAAATTTATTGCTGAACTTGTGTGAACTACGCATGAGTTAAGGATATTCGTATTCTGTCATATATTTACATTCACTGTAACCTAAACCTCCCTCATAATACAAGATCCCCCGACTTTAATTATAAATAATCTCGGAAACCAGTGAAATCACTCAGAGAATTTTACAGTTAAAATCTATGAAAAATACGTGTCGTCATAGGACGCCAGGTCTTTTAGTACGAGCAGTTTTATTTTTATTAGTAAATTTCATTATTGTTATCTATTGCTGCAATATATAAATTGACAGGCAGAACTAATCAATTTTAAACTCTGTCTTTAACAAAATAAGTAAGCTGATTATATTTTATATTTTAATTTCATAAAAGCTTTCATCTAGTGAATCGACATAGCATGATTATATTAAATCCTAATATTAATACAACCATGAAGAAAACAATGTATTAAAAATTCTATTTTAATCTTTTCGATGATGTAGACAGTACTTCTTTCTGGTGAAAAGGACATTTCAGATTAGTTATGCTATATCTAATATGCACTTATATACTAAGAAGTCTATAAAAGGTGTAGTCATTCTGATGAGTTTCATTTGTTAGATCAAACACTACTTAACAAACGTATAAGTAAACATGAGTGAATATAGTTTTTCACGTTTTCTCTTCGTCTTGTTAGCTCTTACATATTCGAATAGAACGAAATACTATACTGCTTAATGTAAGTTCTCAAAAGGTTGTTTAATAATTATTCTAATAGATAGTAATATTATATAGAAATCTAACAACAATCTTAAAAAATAAGATTAAAACTATTTCGCGTTTATGTTGCTATTTTAAATTACAGTTAATTATAAGATTAATAATCAAAATTAAAATGTCTGTAGCAACAGTGTTACTTTCGATTCAACAAAATGTATATTGAATTGCTGGTCCTATCTTAATAGGTATTGGAAGCATTAGCTGTATACTGAATTTAATGGTATTCAGCAAGAGCACTCTACGAAAAAATCCATGTACGATTTGTTTAATTGCTGTCAATCTTATCAATTTCGTATATTTTTATTTGGGTGTTTTACTGGCGACACTAGGAACTGGTTATAATATTGATCCAAGTACAACCAACATCTATTTTTGTCGATTTCGTTTTTATATTTCTTCAGTTCTTGGGTGTTTACAATCATCTTATATTGTCTTAGCATCAATTGATCGTACACTTATCACTTCACCTAATGCTGGAACACGACAACGCAGTACTCGTCGTTTGATTATTATTAGTATGATTGGTATAAGCTTATTTTGGATGATTTTTGAAAGTCATGCATTAATTTTTACGGAAATTCTAGAATTAGGACCTGGTTACTTTATTTGCTAATATCAACCAGGTACATATACTGTATTTATGAGCTATCATGCATTTTTAGTCAACGGAATTCTTCCAACTTTATTGATGATCATATTTGGATGTTGGACAGTGAAGAATATTCGTACAGTAAGTCGTGTAAGACCTGAAATTAATTCGATAGGTATTAAAAATATAACAGTTATTAGACCTGTCATTGTTCGACCAAAGGATCAACAACTTGTTCGCATGTTATCAGTGAATATTATTGCTTTTATTATATGTAAATTTCCGTCTACATTAGTTCTCATTTATGAACAAATTACACGATATGAGGAAAAACCTAGTGATCAACAATTAATAGAACAATTAATTTTACAATTGACATTCTTTTGGTATTTCGTCGATAATGGTATTGATTGTTATACAAATATACTTGTATCAAAAACTTTTCGAACAGAACTCAAACGTATATTTGTAGATGTTTATCATACTTATATTCGTCATCGAAATTAATATGAACATAAACATTGTTAGAACAAATAAATGTTGTATATCCTTTTAAATATATTGTATCGTATCTCCTTTCGATTAATAAATATACCAGCTTAGAACGTAGATGAATATCAGGTTTTGAAATTATATTTATTTTTTACGTCGTTTTAGTTACGCATTCACATACATCTACTTTCAGAGAAAAGCATTCATAGCTATTAATCAAATTTGATATATGATTAACGGACTTGAAAAATTTTCTTTGAACTGAATTTTTTGAATTTTTAGATAAAAAAACAAATGTTTTGTATTGAAGTTTTTCCAGATGAAATAATTTATCGTATATTCGATAATATCCGTATTTACTTGTACATGTAAATGATTTTTGAAATGTCATAATACTTATAATAATTATAAAATTTATTTTGAATCAATATCAAAAAACTCTTTTGATTTTTTAAATTCATTAAATATAATTAAATTAAAATTAAGTGATGATGATGATAAAACACCTCGTCAAATAAAACTTTTTATTTAAAATTTTTTCAGTAAATCAATTAAATTATTTAAAATTTGAAGATTTTACTTCATCTATTGGTAAAATATTTCAAAATAATTAATTAGAATATTTTATTGAAACATATTTAATTTATTTGAAACCTTTTCAATTTTTTAATTATAAATTCATTTATTAAACAATTTCAAAAACTATTTTGGATTCTAAAATTTAATTGTTCAATTATTTGTGATTTTATTAAAGATGCAAATGTACTTTATGCTTCTTCACTACTTTCTTCGAATCATTATTTAAAATATTCTGATCAATTAAGTATTACGTCGATATCAATTCAACCAGAATTTAATTATTTAAATGGAAGATTTCATTCAATTTATCAATTAAACTTAAATCTTAAAGATTTACAAATTATTTCAACACAAATCATGGTTTATATTATATTTCTTATTCTCTTTCTCATAGAGAAGAGTCTTGCAAGAATAAATTGTTTGTTTGTTTGATTGATAGATTGGTTGTCCGCAGGGTCAAAAAAACATCGAAAATTGATTTTTCACCATTTTCAATTGTTTTTCGAGTAAATATGAAGACAATGCATTTCTATGAGAAAGAGCTAAGCGACTATTCGGACGAGCGTTGCTTGTAGTTTATATTGTTATCACTTATCCATTTACCATCATTTTATTGTAACGATAAAGAAGTTCCTATATAACGCTTCCATTATTAACGCTTCTACTTTTTTCTGAATCAAACGATAGTTTTTTTTTTATATTAAAAAAATTAAGGAAATGTTAATATAAAAATTTTTTATTTGATAAATTTATAAAAATATGAGCAAGTATATTTTATAAAACAGAAAGATTGTAAATAGCTATATACTTCATTATGACATACACCTTACATTAGTTGTTCGCAATTACACGTGCAGTACAAAATTGTATTAAACAATTGTGGAAATGATCTTATACTTTATTTCTTTAACTACCAGTTGCTTCTTTGAAAGAATTCATCGCATTGTTATCCTTCAAATCCAATGACAATGTTACAAATAATATTTAAAAAATTAAAGTAGACAAGAAAAATGTCAAACAATTAGCAATACATTTCAACTAATCTTGTTTTGTTGTATTTGAAGAGAAAATTTGTTTGGTCAATATCTTTGATATAGTCTGCTGTTTGTGATATATATTTCTACTATAATATAACTATTGATAAAATATTGTTTAATGATCTTTGAAAAATATTCAAAAATTTCTTGAATTATTTTGATAAATATAAAATGAAAATAGTTATTTTTTCTGTAGACAACAAATGATTTATTATTGTCAATTATGTATACATAATTGTTGTTTTCTTAATCCTTAAAGGATACGTTGACCTAATGATATACTTAGTGATGTCGAGACAGCGTTATTTTTCTCGCTTCTTTGACTGTCTATCAACGGTAATGATAACAGAAACAGCGGAGAACGCAAGAAGACAAATATTTTGTATCGTCTAAAAATTTTTTGTTAATCTTTAATAAACATTTTCATTTCTTTCTTAACGTTCAAATGAGACTGAGCATAATAGAAAGAATCATAAAAAACAGTCGACATGCTTGATTCTTCATATCCAGTATTTTTTAGTGTGCATAGTTATATCTATTTTTCTTTCTGCTGTTTTCGCCGCTAGTACAGCTATCGACTAGCGTCTGTCTGATGCTCGTGCTTATTCTCGCCGGAGAAATAGAAGAACGAGGAAAAATATGACACACAAGTCTTTAGGTTGTATAAGAAAGAGAATAGAAAAATTGTTGCTAGTATTTTTGTAAGGAGCAGAGAAAAATAAAAGACAACAGACAATTCTTCTTTATTTACACCGCTTTACTATTAGTAAATAGTTGGTAAAGGTTTTTTCAGAAAAATAAGCCTCTGTTTAAATTTAGAACTTCCTTCACTATCTTTTTTTTTCATTGAAAAATATTAAGAAAAAGCACGATATAATATTTTTTTATCGTCATTTCATACATATCATACGCAGAAGTAAGAGATAGATTAATTACATTTATCTTTTCTTCTTTGCTGCGTTGAGAAAAAAAGAAATCGATCGAACACATCTTTATCGTCTTCACAAATGATCATGCTGTGTATTCAAGAGAAATGTATTTTTTTTGTATTTGTAATATCGCCCTATAATCATCATGGTCCCAAACGGACTATAAAATATTCCACAATGCAGTAGTAATAATAAAATAAAATAAAAAGAAACGAGACCGAACGAAGAAGAGAAACAAAGAGAAAGAAAGAAAATAAATAAATAAGAATAAAACGTACTGAGTAAAGAATATGTATATACTAGTATGAAATATGAGTACAGGTTATTAAAAGAAATAAGAGAAAATCGAAATAAAAATAAAAAAGTACATATTTCTCTTCTTCCTTCTGTTTTTTCCTTCTTTCTACACATCTCTCGTCTCCTTTCTCCTTTCATTCTTTTTTTATCATCATGACCTACATTCATTGATTTTACTGGCTTGATTAAAATCTATCGGAAAATTGCGTTCGAGAAGCCATGCGATGTCATCCAATTTTTAATGCTTTAATTATTATATTAACGTGTAATCCAAATCTTTTTGATCTATACAGACAATGTATTCATCCTCTTTCCTACAAGAGAAATCGATTAGATGAATTTGTTTCTCTCACAGTTAGTACGTTTCAACGGCATCTCTGTCGTTTTTGTTTTAACATTTACTTTTAATAGCCTTGCATACTAAGATTAACATTGTAGAATAAAATGATTTAAGGAAATTAGATGAACATTAATTATGTTGATTAACGTCATCGTATATAATCTCACATGTTTTATTGAAGTCAGAGTTCATTTCTAAAGTGTTGTTAAAAGGTATGTATATATGAAGAAATATATTGCTGATATTGATTGATCAATTTGTGAGTGTATGGTACTCGTCGTAAGTAAACATTGATTGATTAAAAAATGACTGGTTACATGTGTCTATAATTAACTTCCGTTCTAACATATTTTAATAACATCGATTATAATAATCGTAACATAAACATAAATAGTTCATGCTTAATAACTACTATAAATTAGTTTAATTACCAACAATATTATTGCAGAACAAATCATTTTTTCTATGTGATAGGTATGTGTAATAGAAATCATATTAAAAATCTGTTTATTTGAGACGTAGATTCTCGAAGTGTTTCCTTCAGTCTGGAATGCATATGTTCTATATCTTCTTTTCAAAAGCAGTTTTTTGACGAGTTTCTCTTTCTTCAGTTATTTTTCAATGCAATAGTTTTTCACACAGAAAATTCATTTATTCTTTAGATCACATTTAATCTATGATGACCGATAAGGCATTTTCAAATGATACTATTGTAACTGTTCCTTTCAAGTCTTATGAAGACGGAGCATCAAAAAATGAAGATCTTCCACCACCGTATGAATCTCCCAAGATTGACTTCAGTAGTGGTTGGAAAGATCGTTGGTTTATGATAATATTTTGGCTGCATGCCCTTATTGTTCTCGTTATTGGTTTGGTGTTAGGTTTACCGGTTTTAAATTCTGTATACATACACGCTTCATCCAATTTACCAGATGCAAATATCACTGATGAAGAAAGAAATTCGTTCGATAGATATCCGGGTGTATTAGCTTACGCATTAGGTGGTGCGATAGCTGCCGGTAGTGTTACTTCGCTTGCCACTTTTTTTCTTTTACAACTATGTGCTGGTCGAGTTATCATGTGTACATTAATCATAGTTATTGTCATCGAAATTACTCTAGTCGTCGTCCTTTTCATTACGGTACATTGGGTTGCATGTATTATGCCTCTTATTGTCTTGATTATTACATTAATGTTTATGAGTTGTGTTTGGAAGCGAATACCATTTGCTGAAGTTCATTTACGAGTAGGTTGCGCTGCATTACATAGTCATCCTTCAGTAATACTTATAGCACTCTTTATATTTATTGTGCAATTTCTATGGTTTATTTGCTGGTTTTTAATGGTGTTGGGTATTATGCATGCTATGAATGGTCCGATGGTACTTGTTGCTAATAAAGATACAGCAGTAACAACCGATATTTACAGTACATCATCATCATTGTATACTACAAAACCTATGCCATTCAATGCAAATCGTTATGAAACTAAACGTCCGATTTATGGAATAACCCAAAATTCGATTTCATATAATACACAACGTAAATCATTGTATCATCGAGAACCTCAAGATAATCAAGTTCTTCGAAGTATCGTTGGATTTCTTCTACTATTATCATGGTATTGGGGAGCGAATACGTTTAAAAATATTGTTCATTTTGTTTCAGCTTGTACTCTTGGTCGTTGGTGGTTTGGTAATAATGGTGAACAACAGTATTTACTTGGAACAAGTACCAAACGAGCCTTTACTACAAATTTTGGAACGATCTCTTTCGGTTCACTTGTAGAAGCTCTAGTTAAAGCTGCACGTTCTTCGGCAGAAAGAGAAAGTCGTTCAAATATTCTAGCTTGTGTTGCCGCATGTCTTCTTCGAATACTCGAAAAAATGATTGGTTATATGAACGATTGGGCATTTATATATTCAGCACTTACTGGACAATCATATATAGAAGCCAGTCGAAGTTTCATTGAATTATTTAAGAAACGTGGTTGGACAATGATTATCAATGATACTCTTATAGGTCATGCTTTGGGAATAATTAATTTAATGGTAGGTCTTACTTCAGCAGTGATTGGTGGTGTATTAGTCTACATTTTTACAAGAAATTCAATTGAAGGAGACGCTATTACAACTATTACGATTGCAGCAGTTCTCGGTTTTCTAATTGGCTTCCTATTTAGCTCAATTACGACAACAATACTCAGTTCATGTGTTCGTACAGTATTCGTTTGTTTTGCTCTTAATCCTGCAGCATTGGGTGCAACTCATCCGGAACATTTACAACGTTTGACCAAAGCTTGGAGCAAATTTTATCCAACAGAATTTACTGCCAGTGGTTATGTTGATCAATTACCGAAGTATAACACCGTTGAAAATATCTAAACACTAAAACATTTAATTTGCTTTTTTTTGTAGTGTAGAAATTTTATTTTATCACAACAATACATAATAAAATATCGTAGATTACTCTGTCTTTTTATTCATTAGATACTGGCACTACACGTACATTCTGTTCATTTCGGAAAACAAGAAAAAATATAATTCCAACGATAGATGACATAATTGATAATGATGCGTACATCCACAGAAGTTTCGGATTAACTGTCACTGGTATAAGCGTAAAATTTAGAGCACTTCCAAATGCTGATGTGACAAGAAAAAGTGACATGACAATAGATTTCATTGAACTTGGTGCTTGTGTGAATGCATACTCGAGACCAGTAATAGATGCGAAGATTTCAGAGAGAGCAATGAAAAAATATGTTGGAATTTGCCAAGCGACAACGATATCATTGTACTTTTGTGGAATGTCCAAAGTTCCGTTAGGATAGTTGTAGTTTGGTCCAGTAGAATAGATTCGATCTTGAACAACTGCTGACCATGCCATGGCAATGGAAACACAAAAAAAACCAGCAGTTATACGAAAAATCGACGAAAAATTAATTTTTAATCGTCGTAAAGTAGGATAGATAAATCTGTCGAAGATTGGAATAGCTATAATCAAAACGAGTGGATCAATATTTTGTAAGACATCATTAGGTAAAGGACCTGAAAAAATAGAACATGAATACATTAATAAGAATAAAATGAAAAACTTACCAACATCCATTTGTGCAGCTTGTGATACTAAATTAGTTCCCAATTGATTATAACAGACCCAATAGAAAGGATAGAAAATAAAGACACGACAAGCACTTGTTGCTTTTTTAAGATCATCAATGAATTGGTTTTGATTTATTTGTGCCATTGTCTTTTGTTCATCTTGATCAGTTGATGATGGAAATTCTTTAGCATAATCAAAAAGATGTGAGCGATTGGCTTGTTTACCTAATTTAGATCGCATTCGAATAGCTTTGATTATAACACGAGCAGCACGAAGAAGTAATGAACCAGTCGGAGGTGCACGAATATATCGGCTTCGACCTGCCACTAAGACGATAATCGCACCAGTGAATACAACCAAAGGTATAAGATATGCAAGCCAGAATGAAACATACTTTTCTATATTCGTAGTAGCGATCGATGATAGTGCACCGATATTGATAGCCCAATAAAACCAATTAAACATAGATTGAACCGTTCTAAAATCTACTCAATGTAATCCAAAAAGTAAAGTTTTCATAGACTTACACTTTTGGATCGATGATTTTCTTTTTACCATTGATTTCTGTAAGGATAAATAATAAAATAATATTTTCTCAGCTGAACAACTCTATGCATACCTCTTACAACTGCTTTTGTTCTAGTATATTGTTCAGCCATTAGTGGACTTACATTACTCTTTACACCGCCAGTACCAAGACCAATAATAACCATAGCCACGATTAAACCTGGAAAAGCGATATCTGCATCAAGAGATGGTGGTATACTACTTAAGACTAAGACTAAAAGACCAAACATATAGATGACACATGCTACGAGAATCATTTTGTATTTGCCCCAAAATTGATCGGCTATAATAGCACCAGCAATCGGTGTAAGATAAGCAAAAAATTGAAAGAATGTTGTCAATGCAGTAGCAGCCTGCTGTCCACGACCAAGAGCACCTGGTTGTGGAGCACCTGGAGGGGCTGGTGGAAATTGTATATAATTTTGAAAAGGACCAGAAAGACCATAGAAAGCGAAACGTTCACACAATTCACAGATGACAATTAACCAGGCTGCTAACGGTATTCCATCAGAAATATGTTCTAATGTTATTAATTCTTCAGCAGTTGGTTCAATTTCACTAGTCTCATCAGTCCATTCGACGATTGTCTTCGGTTCAGTACTCATCGCACTATTCATTTCAATATCTTCACTTACACTCATTTTTTTCAATTACTGTGTTAAATGCGAGGTTTTTTCTATATATTTAAATCTATTGATAGTATATCTCGTCTACATAGAATACAGATAAGACATTTTACATTCTTTTTTTTCTCACTCATCTCACCTTTGTTATTTTAAGGTGTTTCAAATGCAAATATGCGACACGTTAATGTTGTGAAACTTAAATATACTAGGACTTTTGCAAAAGTGTTGTGTATTTCATTCGAACATTGCTCTACTCAACTTTTTTGGTTTTAGATTATTTTATTCTCTCGATTTCATATAAATTTAATTTAAAGATAAATCGATGGCATCTTGTAATGAATTAATTTTTGATTAACAAAATATACTTATTCCAAAATAAATATTGCGTATTAATAGGGGAGAAAAGTCGATCGAACCTCGTTGTCTCTTATTTCTCTTAAAATATTCTCTCGTTGAAAGAATACGTTCATTTTGAGTGAATTTGTGTACAAACTTGATCTAAAAACAAAACACGAAGTTATCTTCAATCAAAACGAGTCATGATGTCAATGGTGATTTTTCAATGGTTAGTTTCGATTACATTTACCATTTCCGCTTTAATACTAGGATGAATTGTATATCAACCAGGTAGTCGCATTTGTCAAGTAGGTTTTTTATAAATAATTAGATGAATTAATTATAAGAATTTATTTTTAAAAATTTTTAAGAAAAACTATCCATATACGCTCTCTATTAATTGATAATCTTTTCAGATTTAAATTTGTCTTTCTTTCAAACGTCATTGAACGATCTAATCATCTTTCTGTATTTATTGTTTTTTGCCTATTTTGTATTATGATCCCAATATATATTCGAATAGTGTATTTCGCAAAACAACATTCTTTTTCAACAAGTATTCATCATAAATCTTCCATATTTGATTTTCTTTCTTTGAGCTCAGTTTTTTCCTAATGCAGAATCGTTATTAAAATCGAATTGAATTATAAAATTTGTAAAATACATTATAGTAAAATTGTTCTGAATATTTAATTTAAATATATCTATGAGAGATAGATCAATTTGATGCTTTTTTTTGTGAAATTCACATAGATTGTTCGAAAAAGAAAATATGTAATTTTGCTTTTTATCTTTGACGAAAAAAGAATGAGAAATGAAAAATATGGTAAGATAAGAATAAAGTTGCATGTATAGTTATTGAGAACCATTTTCATCTGTGGTATAATAGGTAAGAAATACGAAAAAAAAATCTAGTATTCTCGAGAAAACGAACATGTAGAAGTGTTTTTAATTGTTACTAGATTTTTATTCCTAAAGCATAAAATACATTTCATTTTCCTTCAAGATTTATTATTTTATATTCTTGATCGGTGTATCTTACTCAACGCATGTCTTATTTTATCATTCTCTGCATATTTCTGGCAGTGAAAACAGCCTTCACTGCGGTACAATACGGGACTACACCCGGTGGTTATTCGTCTGCTCCGAAAGGTTGGAATAGTTTTGCCATGCAGAGTTTAGGTATGAAATTCGACCAGGGAAATGTTATGAGACAATGCGATCAATTAGCTAATGTGCTTGGTGGCTACGGCTACGATCTATGTTCATTAGATTCTGGTTGGTCAGTAGGTGCAGAGGGTGATGAATATGGTCGAATAATTTATGATAGTTCGATCTTCAATATCCCTCAACTTGCAGATCATCTTCACAGCAAAAACTTAAAATTGGGCGTATATATAGTGCCCGGTTATTTTGCAAATGATGCAAATAAGACTGTTTTCGGCACCAATTACAGTCTCTCCGAGATTGGCAATGGACACAATAATGGACTGGCTAGAATTGATCTCAACTACAGTCATCCTGGAGCCCAGAAATGGTGCAACTCAGTCATTGATCAATTTACACAATGGTAAATACATCTAATTACGAAGAATTGAACTCAAATGCTATATGATGACAAATATCATAAATAGTATGAAATTTTATAGTACTGTAGTCGTTGTAGAAAAATGAGTATATTTTCGTGGACTGTAATTTTGCTTTTTCTCTCGTAGCCGAAATATATTTCTTTCCTAATTTTCAGGGGTGTTGATATGGTCAAACTCGATTATGTCACTCCTGGAAGTCCTGATAATGGTGTTAATCTTCTTAAGGATAACAGTGGAATTGTGGTATGCTTTCATAATGCCATTGCTCAACAGAAACGTCAAATTCGACTTGATATATCATGGAAACTCTCGCGTGATGAACCTTACTATACTATTTGGAGGACTAAGTAAGTTTCTTCCAGTAGCTACTTAACTCTTTAATCATGTTTCGAATAGTGCCGACACCATACGCACAGATCAAGATCTGAACGGTGGTCCAGGTGTGCAGACTCAATGGCCTACTGTGCAACGTGCTATCGAACAGTATCGTGAATATATTTTACAAGTCAGTGATGGACACTCGACTACACTGACCATTTATCCAGACATGGATAATCTTTTTGTTGGCAATAATGCCAGTTTCAGCGGTCTCACTGATAATCAACGTCAAATAGTTATGAGTCACTGGATTGGAGCAGGTGCAAATCTCATCATCGGTTCTAATCTGACCGATTTAGATACTTATGGTCTCGCACTTTTGACTAACAAGCGAGCACAGGAAATTGCCAACAATTTCACAACCAAATATCCTATGCTACCAACACAAGGCAACAATAATCCATCACATGGTCGACAAGGACAAGTGTGGATTGCTGGACCATCTGATGACTCGAACACTGCTGTGATCTTGGTTGCCAACTATGGAAATTCTGGCAACAATAACTTATTCGATCCAATTCCTACACAGAGTTGGTGGTCTTATAATTTCACGTTTAGTGACATCGGACTTGATGCACATGCGACATACATTGTCGAGAATATTTGGGACTCGAGTGCTGATTTTACAGTACAAGGAAATGAAATTGTCTCAGGAACGCTGCAAGATGCAGAGGTGAAGTTCTGGAGTGCTACGAAGAAAAATTAATAAAAATGTTTGTGATTGTTATTGAATTCTACAAAAAAGGTGATACTACTTTTCTGAAGTATCTTGAGTGTGAAGGCGTAAAAATAACTGTTTAGTGAGCCAATAAAAGTAATGTAATAAACTTTTACAATAACTTACTCTTATTAGAGAAAAACAATATACATACTTGAATTATGATTGGGAATAAAATCGAACTTATATGATCTCTATAGAAGCAGAATACTTATCAATCGAAGAGACCTAAGTTAGTTAGATTTTAGAGAAAATGTTTGCTCATTGTTGACTAACTAGAAAGTATTTCTCACATGTTAAAAGTTATCACCTAGAATCAGAATTTCATGAGCTTTTGCTCAACTGTAGATACAATCATTCTGTGAAGACTTTCTTTCAACGTAAAATTGTTATGGTTAATATTTATGGGTGATAACTTTTGAGTTATCAAAAATATTTTCTATCTGATTAGAAATGAACAGATATGTTGTTTATTAAATAAAAATGTATTTATTCAATCAAAATCTAATTAAAAATAAAATTCTTATTAAATCATCTAATTAATCATTATGAATAGTCATATAATAAAGACATCCTTTTAAACCGAGATCATCATCATCAATTAAAGTAAGTGGAACACGTGCAACAACTTCACTCATTTTTGATCCTTGATCTAAATAAGATTTAAGTAAAAGATTATTTCGATTATTTTTCCATCGCCAAGCTAATTTAGGTAAAATTCCACCAGTTATATATAATCCGCGATAAGGTAAAAATGTTTGAGCTGCTGTACCTAATACTCGACCAAAAACATCAAGAAATGTATCAATAACTCGAAGACATAATGCATCATTATAATCACAAGCATGTTGAGATATAATTGCAGGTGCATCATCATGTGAAACTTGTTGAAGATCATTTGCAAGTTTTGTTGTTAATGGTTGATTTAAATATTCCGAATAAAATTGTAACATTGTAACAAATCCTGGACCAGATACAATTTGTTCAATTTCAATAAATGATTGATTACGGCGTAAATATTTTAATAAAAACCATTCTTCTTCATTTTGAGGACTAAATGTATCAACCATACCTGCTACTGATGAATAAACTTGATATCGACCGAAATTATCAGGTGTAAGAAAACATGCACCAAGACCTGTACCTGCTGCAAGACAAGCTACTGGTGTTTTCGTGTCTGTACTATCTTCAGTAAGAACTTCATGAAGTACAAATGTTTTTGTTGATTGACATAATTCATGTGCTTGAGAATCGACTTGTGCAGCAAGACAATAACCAATAGCTTCAATATCATTTAAAAATATTACTGAATTTGATTTCAATTGTAAATCATTTTCAATTGTATCTGCATGCTGTATTGCCCATCCAGCACCATCCGATAACATACGAATATTATGTGCGTCAGTACTGCGAAGATTATTCCAAACAGGACCACATACAGCTAATACCACTCGAATACTATATATATAAATAATACAAGTAACGCTCAGCTCTTTCTCATAGAAATCGTATTCTACAATACTAAGCTTTTTCCTTATAAAATTTGCAAAAACTAATAACCGATTTGCGTTACTCGACTCCAAAAACCTCTTGACCAAATTTTAAAACAAAAAAGATTTTTTTCGTAAAAAATAGTGCTTTGTCTAAAAAAATGTTTTTTTGACCCTGCGGACACATAAGCAAGCAATCAAGAAAGCAAAGAGTTTATTTGTGCAAGACTCTTCTCTACGAGAAAGAGAATAAAATTATCTTTGCTTTTTTATTTACATATTTACTTTTTATTTCTTATAGAATCAAGCACATCTTCTTGTTGTTCTTCATTTTGAATATCATTTAGAAAACGTTTTAATATAGCATTAAGACCTGTAAATGTACTTGTTCGATAAGTTTGTCGAGTTATAAATGTGATAGATGGTGTTGGTAACGTCTGATTATAACTATACCATAATAATTGTACTCGTGCATTAGTACCACCAATATCACCAGCAATAACTGCGCAAGATTTTGACATACTTTTCTTTTCAATTCAGCAGTTGAATAAAACTATGAGCTGATATGTCGTTATTCTCCTTGGCTTTTTTTGTTTATTAACACAAGATAAATGTTATCATCAGATGCATTCTTTTTTCTTTTGTTAACCTTCGAATTTTATTTTTTATATGATAGAAATCAAACAAAATAATTATATTCGATTTAAACTGTAACTTTAATTATTTTTTTCTTATAGAAACTATTTAAAAGTAGAATAAATGAAACATTAGTTTTTTATTTAAATTTTTAATACTCTTTTATTGATCAATCACTATTGTATATGCTTTGTAGTATATAGAATGTGTGTGCGTCTATTCTCATAATAGTATTATCAATATCTGCACGACGATTACCCAAAACAAAATACTTTGATAAAAATAAAATATTTTTATTTCGCGATTTTTTATTATTAATCAATAGATGTAAATTCGTTATATCCAAGCAGAAAAGAACAAAATTAATTTTGTTTTACCAATTCCTTCGTTGTGGTAATGTATTAGAATATCCAGCTAATGCTACAGCAATTTTTCTTGATATTGTATGAATTTTTCAATTGGTGGATAAACCAGATCAGATAATAAATCTTCTTTAGTCACTTGTTTAGAAAATGTTTAAGTTGAGATAGAGAATAATTCTTCAGGTATATGTCGTATTGCTTAAGGATTAATAGTTGCAATGTTTTGATTCATTGGATGAATACGCCCACTACGCGTTCTTGTATGTTGACTATTATTGTGTGGTGTTTTACATAAGCATAAACGAGAAAATATCATTAATAATTCACGACGAAAACTTGGTGCAGTTAATGTATAAACAAAGAATGACCACTGAAAATATGTTTTTTTTATTTAGAAGAATATTGTTATAGTAAAAAGATACTCACCCCATTAAAAACATAATAAAAAAAACTTGTAAGTAGAGTGGCTGAAAATGACTCAATAGTAATTTGATATAATGATTTACTTGATGTTGGTACATTTTCGTTGATTTTTGCATAAAAAATGAAAATAAAATATGGTACATTTGTCACCATATACAGAAGAACTTGTGCAATAAGCATTGTTGCTAATTGACTGTCTTTACCATTCACACGAATCTATATTACAAACAAAAACAATCAAAATTGATATTTTCAATTTCTAAAACAACAGCTTAACATACGATCTTCAATCCTACTGATTTATAGTATTTTTGAGGGTGTGGGTGTGGGTGAGTGGATAAGAGATAGGCACTCACACTCACACCCACCTATAATTACAAAACTCACTTTTTCACGTCCAACACGTTTCGCATTCGCTTTTAATCGTTTGATTGTTAACCAACTCAAGATACTCATCGATAATGTTGGAATTGTAACATTAAGCATCCAAATACTAATAGTTTCATATATATTCCCAGCTTGTGTTGTCACCATACATGGCATGATTATTTGGTGAGATTTATATGATATTAATATATAAACTGGTAAACATGCACAGATTAATATAGCAAAAACGACCATTTTTATTGCTATAATAGGGCGACAAAATTGTCGTTGACGAACGGATGTTGAACAAAGAAGAAAACGATCCAAACATGCAAGAATAATAAAAGCTCGACTTGAAAATTGTGAGAAATTTATCATATAATTACGAATTTTACAATAAACATCACTATAATTAGATGGATTATTATTTGTAAAGAATGCAAGCATACTAGCTAATATATCTGATACAAATTTTTCTGATGAAATATAGGGTGTGGGTGTAGTTGTTTGTGCCTATAATCGCTCAACTCACACTTTTTTAAAGTGACTCTTGTTGTGGAAACAATACGAAACACTAACAACAATCATCAATAAGCGACAGTGTCGATTATTACTCTAGTCGTGATCAATATAGTTCGATATGTTGTGCAATGAACTAGCCTGGAATATATGAAGATCGTAATTTAGCCTGATTGAAACGGTATTTACGAACAAATGTTTTCAGTTTTTTCTCTCAAACTCGATTTTTATGTGAAGTTTAGTCTTTGGATTAATGCTGTTATATTATAGTTTGTTCTAAAAAATTGTAGGATTTATTATTATTATGGTAGTTAGTCTTTGTTCGAATGACGAAAAGAGAATTTTATTTACATATTCTTCGTGCAGAAAATCTCTGATAGCATTTCAAAATATTAGAGATTTCTCCGCCTTTCAACACTAAAGAGAACGACAATGGCAAAAGTTTTCTAAATTGTAAGGTTTAGAGAGATGAGAAAAGAATTGTTCGTGAATATACTTTTCTGAAAAATTTCAAAGGAAATTCAAAATATGAATTAAACAAAAATTGAGTATATGTTCTAGAATGTAGTAAAAACGAGTGAATAATACGTATGTATTCAGGCAGAAAAAGATTCTTTATTTACTTAGAGATACTTTAGAAAAGGCGGATGCTATATCTAAGGATATGACTCTGAAATTTATATTCTCACTCACTTCTATTGATACCATGGAAAATATATAGAAATCAAGATCTTCATTTCCATACATACTTTTATCGCAATATCAAACTTTTGAATTTGATTTTATTAATAATTTATTTTCAGAAAATAAAAAGTGATTATATTAGATAGTAAGAGTAGTATTTATTATTCGAAATATACCTTGAATCCATTCTTTTTCAATTGCATCAAGTTTATTATTTTGAATATTAAATTTCTTCAAATCTTTAATTAAATAGATTGAATCAGGTAATTCTGTAAGTTGATTGTTGGATAAATAAAACTCATTAACTGTATCAATTCTTGCTAATGAAGCGCTTGAAATAGATCCAATTTTATTATCATTAAATGACAACAAAGTACTATTGTGTGATGTAATCATTTCAAAACCACTGAGAGATGTAAGTTCATTACTATCTAATTCGATTATATGTAAATTTGGAATATTAGCAGGAAGATGATTGATCATACAATTTGATGCTCGAAGGATATTGAGTGATGTTGATCCATAAAGAACATCCAGTGAAGAAAGACGAATATTATCATTCACAGATAATAATGTAAGAGA